ACGTCGAACTACTAGGGCTAAGCATGGATTTATATAGGAATCCAATGCATTATGGCTTTATTATTAATTTATTCTCCAACCGTGGTTACGAAGATTGGTATTTTAAAATCTACGAGTATAGAGAACATAAGATGAGTCGATAGAGATAACTGTGATAATGAACCTAATCGGCTTAAATTAGGATTACTTGGGAATAATTACCAAATATACTTAGTAGAAAATAACACTAGGCTAATAAAAACATTTTTTTGAATGGGGAATATGTTAAGATCTTTTTCGTTTCCTTTTCTTTGTCTTCGTACGTTCTATCTAAAACGATAGGCGAACTAGTAAGTGGGGAATAAAAACGGGTTTCAAGAAAACGATGACCCTTTCTTCATTTATATCCAACTTTAAATATAAAGTTGGCCCACCATCCAGCTCAGGTTGTTATAAAATAATGTGTTCATGCAATTGCTTTTATTTTGGAGAGACTTATCGTCTGATTCGACAAAGGATGTCGGAACATAAGCGCCCATAGAACCAGTTGAGTTAAAAAATCAGAGCTAAAGGAGCACACGACAGAAAAGGGCAATGAGGTTGAATGGTCTCAAACTTGTATTTTTACTGGGTATGGTATATCTGCAACTGAGCGGAAAAATAAAAGCCAATGAAATCAACCGATTAGGCAATACATCGAATGTCATGAATACCACTAAGAAGGTAAGAACTACTTGTGCTTGATCGATAGGCTCAAGGATAGAGAGCATGGTAAGCCCCCTGGAGAAACAAGGCGAGTCAACTAGTCTTTTCATGTAATGGTTTTAATTACGATCATTATTCTATGTCTTGGTTTAATTGTTATATCTCAGACTAAGACAAAAAGCTAATAGACTAAACCAAAGATATGCTGAAATCACACAATCAGTGGTGATTAAAATATAAAGAAAGAGGAATTGTAGTGTCGAATAAAACTAGATGACTGATGTAGAAGTTACGTTCTTTACTAATTACTGCTAGTTATCACCGCTCGTTCCGTACATATAAGAACATAATGGGCACTAATGAAAAGTACCGCTATGGAAAGAATATAATCATATGAAAGGGTAAAATTCAAATACCTTATCGAAGCCTCGGGATTGTTCAGGAATTCTTCCACAGTCCGATGCGACTTTGATGTATGAGAAGAAAGTAACCCTACATGCTCATGAGTGCCATTTGCGGCCGTCTCGTTCAGGCAATATTGACAATTAAAAAGTGGTAGATCTGGAGGCAAAGTACCGGAAGATGGAAATCTAATACTGTCAGAGCCGTCAGCTGAGGATGTGAATGTGGAATTTGTATAACCGGAAATATTGGAGAATTTTCGGCAGGAAGTTGCTGCCCCATCCTTGGACACAATAGATGACGTCGTCAATTTGTCAGTAGATACCAGTTTGAGTGGACGGAAGGCATTCTTAGCTGTCATATGTCCAAGATCAAAAACAAGGCAACGAGAGGAGAGCGAACTCACTGGCAGCACTAGAACTGGTGCTTGGGCCGAAATGCAGAGACGAAGGCGTGTCGGCTTTAAAGAAGAAGACATCCACGCAGATTGGCCATTAAATGAGTCTTTGTCGGATAAAAAACCAGAATGGGTCTTGCGGAAAGGATAAAATGGAGCAAGGGAGAAGAGAGAATAAAAGGGATAGGATACTATGGCTAAGAAATTATAAATAAAAAATTATAATTTAACTTACCTTGTCCTAAGTCCTCTGGTATAGTATTTATCAGAATCCCGAGTATTGGACAAATGGACTTGTTATACTACAAAACGTTTAGCTGACATCGTCAGAGAGACTTGTTGCTCTCAACACGAAGCTACAACTCTTTAAAAATGGGTTGACCACGTTGTCGCAACTTGGTCTGGTTGTCCTAGAGACTTAGAAGAACACACTAAGTCCGAAGTCCTCTGTCATAGTAGTTATCATGATTCCCAGCACCAGACAGTGGACTTAGTACATTCTCAAACGTTTCGCCGGCATCGTAGTCGGCATCATCAGTGAGTGCTGCCATTCTTTGCATCAAGCTAAGAACTCGTCAAGGAGGCAAGTGAAGTCAATACCTCGACAAACATTCTGCCGAAAACGGTTGCACTTTCATTCCTATTTGTTTAATGCCCAATCTATCTACTCTTTACGCTCTTATCAAAGTCCCGCCCTATCACAACTTCTTACTTGTGTACATTCCACTCGTCAAAATGTGCCCTTTTGTGGCAAATCTAGTGGCCTCATCACACTTGCTATTCACTCCGAACGCCTCTCTTTGGATCGGCTAATCCGATTTGGGCCTTCAATCCGGATGGCCCTGATGGTCCTGTAGAGGGTTCCTTATCTTTCTGGTTGACCGATTTCACTCGGTTCTAGTTCCAGTGTGCGAAGTAATACAAAGAAACATACGAGCCATGAAAAGCCGATGGCTAATAAAATAAAAATAAGAGAGGCTCTCAAAATTAATAGATCAAAGAATACGTTGAATGTGATGAGCGGTGATAGAAAGTTGAGTAAGAACTATTTTTGCTTGAATGATAGATTGAAAGAGAAGTGGATTGAACCTCCATCCAAAAGAAGACGACTTAACTTGTCTGCTAGGTGATGGTTCTAACTTAATTCAAACTCGTCTAACATGTTGGATTAGGCTCATCAATCAAACCACACATACGAGATTACGCAACCCCATTCATGTATTTCCTTGGTTTGTTAAACCCTAATGAACCTGGACTGAGAGGTTATGACAAGTGGTTTCGTAGCTTGACTTACACGCTTACAAGCATACATCTCATAATTTCAACCATACTTGCTAAGACTTTTTTCTGTTAAATTGTGCGAAGAAGATATCGGTTCCGTCCCAAGCTTTCGTCCGTCCCGTGACGGACATCATCTGAGCCAGAAACCATTATTCACGAGCAATCACCAAGAAAGGTGGCCGGCCGGAATCCTAGTTACTTCTTAAACGTCATGTTACGATCCTAATGAAGCATTCCCTAACTTGATTGACTGAATAAGGAGTGCAGAAAACTAAGTAAGAACTACTTCTAGCTGCTAAATACAATTAAAGAGAGAAAGAAATAAAGGGAACAGAAGGAGCCACTGAGTAAGAGAAGACCAGACCAAGCTGGAGTCTGGTCTCGCAACTAAAATTTCCAATCAACTCGTCAGTCCTGCATAAACACAACGCATCTACAAAACTAAGACAAACCCCAGAAGTACAGGATCATACGCCAGTTTATACACATATAGAAAAGTTGTGACTAGATCCGA